GCGCTGAAGACAGGGAGGCCTATGAATTCCGACTCGTGTGGCCTGGTCCACCCCCATCCAACAAGGACCCGTCCACCCTCAAGTTGGTGGAGAAACGTCGTCTGAGCCGGACATTCTACTACCCAGATACCGGACGCTTCATGACTCACACCAAGGCAGAGGTGGTCATGGATGACGCTGAGCGACAACTGGCACAGCCAGATTCGCCGACTCCTTTTGACGAGGACTCAGACAAGCTGACGTCAGGAACGTTGGGCTTGAACCTAGGAGACGCTTCCATACCACCTCCATCTCCCAACTGGCCGGGTGCGGGGAGTTCGGTCTTCCTACCCCCTCCGAATGTGGTGGTGCCGCAACCAAGTGTTCATCCTACCAACACCCCATCCGCCCTTTCCACTGACAACTCTTCCGCCTCATCCTCTCCCTCAGGTTCGTCGAACCATAACCACTGGAGGAAATTGCCTCGAGAAGAGAGAAGGTCCCATCCGTATCCCAGCCGAAGAGAAGGATCAGTCTCGGGTCATTCGGGACAGGCTCGTTGGCAAATGGGGAACGAAACCCATCGAACTCGGAAGGACTCTTATCGCCCCGAACCTAGTCGATCCAACTACAACAGAGATGTGGATAGAAGGTGGTCTTCTCGACCTACGTCTCGAGAATCGATTGCTCGAAGGGATAGCCACCCTAACCCGAGAGACTCGAATCCCGATCCTTCCCCTTCTAGTATGGTACCGTATAGCGCCAGAGGGCCACAGTCAATTCCGCAGATGCCAACCTTTGCGATGCTGGTCAATCCTAAGTGGGTGGTGGACAGCAACACCAACACCGCCGTGCCCACCTTCGTCATCAACCTGGCAGCTCCTCCAACGACTGTTCATCCTCCTCCTATGAGCCAGCCCTACCCCCCGCCCGTGCAGTACCCGGGATCGGATCCGCACCCATCCTCCTCCAGTGGAGCTCAGTACGATTCCCTCCATCCGGATTCCTATCACGAGCGCTCGAGAAGCCAGTCACCCTGGAGAGACGACCCGCGGAGATACACCCCTTGGGGACCGCGTCATGGTCGTTAGGAGACTGGGGGGCGATGTTACGGATACGGAGTCTCCAACGACCATATCCGTCGCATGGTCAAAGACTTCTCCTCTCTATCGTTCCCCCCCTCTTTCTCCCTTCCGTCCTCTATCCCGATACCCTATCCTCCTTACCCATTCTACCCCTTTCCCCCCCCCCTTGTGCAAAGCTTTCCCCATTGGGGTTTTGGTGCTGGCCGAGGTTACTTGTGTTTCGCGGGATTTCCCGTGACCTTACCATTTGTAGATAGTCACGCATCTTGTATGGAAACCGCCGAAGGCGGTTCCCGCTAACTAACAACTACTCTCTACAACTGTCTTGTGTACTGTCTTCTGTACAACCCATCCTGTGACTCAACTGAACCGTGTGACTGTACAACTCACAACATGTCTTATAAGCCTGGTTATGTCAAGTCCTCTAACGGTCCTCGCCGTGAGAACTCGTGGTCGCGAGTCGAAGACTCTCAACCTGTGTATCATCCTATGGAACCTGTACCCTACAGGACTTCATCACTCCGCTCTCCCCCCAGTGCTCGACAGACGACGTCACATCACGATCTTGGAGATTGTGAATGCTCTGAGGTCCACTTTCCCGTGATGCCGGCACGTTCGCTATGCGAATGCCAAGTAGCCGCCCGTCCACCGTCTGTTCCCTCCTTCATCAGTCATCATATTCCCCCGCCAACGGTACGTTCCCTTTGGGAACGCCAAGTCACCAAAGGCCCCGTTAGTCAATCCTCATTGCACGCTCATGATATCAACCCGCTACCGGTACATTCGCGCTGCGAACGCCAAGTACCTGATGGCAGTTATATGAAGTCCTCACCCACCTCACGAGTCGCGACCTTGCACACGGTACACTCCATTGAGGAGCGCCAAGTACCCATGGCTGACGCGTCTGTCATGATGTCTCCGACTACCTACCATCAATTCCTTAATAGCTCACTACATCACCAATCACGATCGATGGGAATTCAATCGTCCACTCCCTTGCAAGACTGGGATCACTCATCGATTACATATCCCATTATGGTACAGACTAGATACGACGTTCGTCATCCTGCTATAAGAACAGATTGAGGATTGGGGATTTCCCCCCATCCCCGTAACACCTTTCCTCTCCTCCACACCTTTCCTCCTCCCTCCTTCCTCTCTCTTCCCTCTGGCCCTCTTCTGTCGACCCCCCGCCAAGTTACGACCTTCCACCGCTGTCCCGTACCTCATACTCAGACACTGCTCATACCTTTGCTCCGAGCCTCCGTCATAGCTCCTACCTCGGACTTTGACTCCACCTCGGCCTTAGTCCATTGCATTGGTGACCTCATACTACGTAAACACCATTGCCAATATTCCTTGGACTTTCAACCCTGCCTCCATAACCTCTGTAACCTCCGCATCCTCCGAGCTCCACGGATCATCTTTGGCACTTTCACCTCTCGCATTTTCCCCTCATCCCTATTTGGACTGCTGCTTCTTCCCATTCTAGCCAGTTAGTCATCATCCCCACTTCCCCTCATCCTCCTGCCCCTCTGGGCCTCACCCTCCTAACCTCCTTTCGGATGTACCACAGGTTCTGCCTCATGACCTTCGGTACCGCTCCGCTTCTGTCCTCCCTTTGTTCCCGTTCAGATGCCTTCGTTCCGATTCGGATCCCCTTTGTTTCCTTGTGCTTTCGCCCTCTCCATTATATATATCAGCACTTGTACATACTCGTTTTAGTCCTTAGTCTAAAATCGACCTGAAATGCCCCCTAGAGACTTCCTGCTCGCCTACTGTGAAATTAAGGACCAAATGGACAAACAGCAATGGCACAGCGCTCCGCTTGAGTCGCTGAGGCCAAGGTCCCTCCTTGCTAAGTCTCCGGTTCCCCTCCGGAATCGTCCACCCTTGCCCAGTTCTAACAACATGAGTATAGACATACATTGCACAGAGTTAGGGCTCATATCCATCTTAGCTTCAGAGCAGTGGAATGTACCTTTCCGCTACTTCAATTTGCTTCAAACTTGGCCTAAATTGCTCTATGGGGGTGAATGCAGGTTTTGGTCAGTCAGATTTTCAAGAATCCCACTGATGCATGAGAAAAGGTTGTGAATTTCCAACATACTGTAGTTATGTATAAACTTGTTTCAAAGTAAGTCCCCATACCACATATGCATTTTAATATTACTATCGGGCAATAATTATATAACACTTAGTAGAAGTTGTGTGGTTAAATGGAGTGGCTTTCAGGTGGGCACAGTGGCCATATTTTTAAATCACATGCTATTTTTACTTTCTCGGACCTCTCCCTTCATTTGCCGACCCCCAAACATTTAGACAGGTCTAATCAGGGTTGACTGAGGTCGTAGCGGGAGACGGCCCAGGAGGCCCAGAATGTATTGGCAGCAAGCAAGTGGCACGAGACACGCGTGATCTGGCTACAAGTACAAAGAAGTTCCAGACAAAACAACTGAAATACACAAGAAAGTAGAACAACGGATAATAGTAATACATGCAAACTCCGGAACAGTTGGAAACCAGAAAAAGATATATATGGAAACAGAATACATGCAAGATCGGAAACGAAACGAAGTAATCGGTGGTGAAAGGGGAGGGGGTGGGAGAGGCGAAAACAAACTAGTGTGAGACTGCAGCAGCAGATATGCGCGAGTCGAGGGGGGAAAAGCAGCAAGGGAAACAGGGAGGCAGTAGCGGCAGCAGCGGCAAAATCACGAGAGTGAGTTCGAAAGAACAGCAGCAAGTTGGCCTTGTACTCACCACGAGAGTCGTGAGAGATTCAGGCAATAAGGAAGGAAAAGGGGGCGCTGTGAAAGCCCTTTATAAGCACAGCCTGAATCGTTGTGAGCACTCTCGTGATAAGTGAAGTTCAGTACGTACCTCCGCTGGTGTGGTCCGCTTCGCGCATCTGTGCCAGAAAACCCAGCATACGACTGAGGGGGTCCATCAAATGGTCAGGTTGCGCAGCAACTCGTGAAAGCGGCAAAGGGGCAAGTGCGGTGCTGAGACAGGCGCATCGGGGTGATCGAGCCAGGGGAAGTCATAGCATTGGCTGGGCCGAGTTCGATCGTTGCCCCGTGATTAGTCTCGTGAAATGAAAACATTAAACAACAATTAAATGTCAAGTCTCATGTTTTTGATCGATTTCGCAATTTTCCAACATTTCTACCACTGAACTTGTCCGCGCCGTCACGTCATCCCAACGATCCCGCACCGAATCTGAGGTGCACGAGATGAATCCGAGGCAAAGGCAAAGTTTGCGGGAATCTATTATCTTCACACAGTGCTCAGCGCGTGGCTTGGTGGCTGTACTGAGGCCTGGTCTCACGTGAGTGTGGGAGCCAGCTACAATCGGACCGAACGACCCCCCCAAACCATGGGGATTACTATACCCCAGAACCCCGGCATACTCCGAGGACCCCCTGATCCAGGAAAGGGCCGAAAGTCGGCACACAGTGCCCGAGGTCTGAGTCAGGGAAGGGCTGAAACTGACCTTATGGCGCAAAATGATGTATCCCATGGAGGGCCTTTTAAGGAAGGTAGGCCGAACTTTGATCTGGAAGAGGGCCTAGATGGTACCTATTCAAAAAGTAATTTACAATGACAAATGCATTTAAAAATCCTTTCAACCTCCGTCCACCTTGTTCTGCAGCCCAAGATGCGTTTAAGTCCACCAGTGCCACCAGGACTGCAAGAAAAAATTTATGGGGTCCCGTCAACTTTCATCTCAGCGCTCCCACCCAAACCCAAACTCGGAAAGCAGGACCCAAACATTGTCCTCTGCCTTGGTGACCACCCTCCAGACGTGCTGGAAAGCACTGATGTGATGGAAGCAGTCAGCTTTCTTAGCCAAATATTATCGGATGGGCTTCCCTGCCAAGAGAAGTGGACAAGCCTCCTTGCTCATGTTCAGAGAGAACGAGGCACTTACCTCTCGGTGACCCACTCCCGGTTCCCTGGGCAGCACTTCCCTCTGTGGTTACTTACGCTCCTCAGCTCTGCATCCCGATATTCACTTGATCCAATAACCACAGAATGGGGAACCAGCCTGAGTTGGCTACAATCACTGCGAGAGGCATGCATTGTGGATACACACCTGAGGAAATTGCATAGCCAAACGCTCCTTCACCTTGAGGTATTACCATATGGTCAGGTTATGAAGGGCTTGTATAAGGAGAAAACAACAAATCTAAGAAGCTCTGATCTAGCGTGTTTGTTGGGTGACAGATGGATTAGTAGCTTCATTATCGATGCAGCATGCCATCTTGTGAATAGAATGGCAACCAGGGCCAATTCCCGAATGTTTGCCCTACCAATCACTCGCTGCACTCAAATTTTGGATGTATTTGCAGAGGAGACCCAGCACCAAGAAGACAGGATCAACGGAACCTGAGCTTCCAGAGTTAGAAACAGAGCTCGAGTGCGGAGCTCGAGACGGGCGAGTCAGTGCTCTCTTCATGCCATTTCACATCAATGGCAACCATTTTGTTGCAATAAAAGTGGACTTCCAAGAAAAATTGCTTACATACAGCGACCCAAAGTTCCCCTCCCTATCATGCTGCCCGGGAAAAATTCTACATGCAGTCAAAGGCTGGCTATCCCTAGTATCTGGAACATCTGGTTGGAATTTCCAATCGAGAGAGTTCCCTATGCCATACCAGGGTGATAACACATCATGTGGAGTAGTAGTCATATCGAGTATTGCTGCTAACGTACTTGGGCATGAGGAGTGGTCAATTGTAACAAGATTTCACCATCGGCTTGCTTGGTTTCTATGGATTACTCACCCAGATGCAGACTCGGTGAGTATTCCTTAATGTATAAAACCTATTAGAGTCACTAAAGAATGACTTTTCCAGGAGTCGGTGAGAATGCTTTTCGACACAAATTTTGAAGAGGGCAGCCAAGCAGTCAAATGCAAGGAGCCTGACAGTGGCTCCGATCCTAAGGCTGCACCCAAGAGAGGCCCGCAAGGGGAACAGGCCTGTCCTCCTATTTTGAACAGGGACAACCTGAGGAAAAGAGTTGGAGACGCGGAGATGAAGAGGCACAGCCACAAACCCAAAAGAGTGAAAGTCGAGCGTACAGCCAATCCACCACCAGAGTCCAATGTCTTACCAGAGGTCACACTTTCCCCTCCCCATCCTAACTTGAAGGTCGAGGCATTTCGGAAACGCATTCACAGTAGCGATCCTCACGCTGTTTTCGATAATAATGATCTTCTTCGAGTACGATGCTCACGCTGTGCCTCATGGATTCGCATGGATGGAGACTATCGAACCAGCAAATTCATCAAACATCGTAATACAGCAAGCTGTGGAAACCGTAAAGGCTCCACCTCCTCACTTACAAGCTGGTTTACCTCAAGAGATCTCACTGTGGCGCCAACGAAGGGTGAGAAGGCTGCAATCCCTTGCCCCGGATATAACCCAGATATTGATCACCGGGTCCATACATATCTTTCTCGGACTGTGGTACAAGGGGGAGGGGCGCGTCCATGGCATCTCTTGTGTGAAGAGCTATTTCCCCAGCGTGCCACTCACACTATCAAGCCCGGAACACCGGAATTTCGGCGGGTGAAAAGGCTTGAGTCCCTAGAGTATAAATGGATTAACTCTCATGCCCTTGGGGCTATCCATTCTCCAAAATGCTCAAAGGAAATATTGGTGTCTGCCGAGAATTCACTGTCAAACCAAATCATCTGTTCTGCCTGCCGCAATCTCCCCCATTTGGACTCATTCCGTACTGCACTAAATCGCCTGCCTCCACCCCCTGCGCACGTCAAGTACACTCCTCTCTCCTACATTGAGCCAGAGGTGCGGGACTTGTACCTTCGCCATGCTGGAGTCGAGGACCTCCTTAAATCAGTATGATGTACTCTTATTTCACCACCTAGCTAACTAACATGCATTCACGGCACTTTTAGGCACAGAAGGGGACAATTTGGCTGAAATTAGCTCAAGGACTCCAGAGTGGCGAGTACGAGGCAGAGCCTGTCTTCCGTGGATTATTAGAAGCATTTTCCCAGAGGATGGATCGCCTGAAGCACGGAAAATCGATGAGAGGAATTTGGTACCCACCTGCATTCCACGAGTTTGTGAACAACCTGTCACTTCTGTCACCCGCTGCATCAAGGGTCTTCACTCGAGCTTTAGGTGGCCCGAAACTCAGGTCTCTGCGGTGAGTAAGGATTATCTACCTTCTCAGGTCCCACTAAGATCATTTTAGTTCCATACGAGCCAAAGAGCCACGTTTTACCCCCGGAATTTCGCCCATCAATATTACCATCGCAATCGAAACCCTGAAAAAGCTTAACTATCTCGGTCCAGTCTGTATTGCCGTCGATGATACAAAAATCCAACCTGGCCTCCGGGCATTCCAGGACTCCAGCAGTACATGGTTCGCCATTGGAAATGTCGGCGATCCGATTTGTATTAAACAGCCAGATGATGCTGATCCATCAGCACAAGAGATAGCAGATAAGCTTCGAAGTACGAATACATTGCAGGCCGAAAAAGTGCGGCTATATTTACTCATCATACCCCTTCCACGCGTGAGTGTTCAGGAATAATCTTCATATTTTTATATGATGTTCACGCTAGTTTCAGGTCCCACCAATACCGCTTGCTGCCATTGCCATGGGGCCCAAGACTGCAGCTGTAGACCTCAAGTTATGGTTTGATAACATTTACGCTCTACTTGAGGCTAAAGGTTGCCGTCCAATCGCTCTTGCATGTGACGGTGCAAACACTGAAAGGTCACATCAAAACGTGATAATCGAGAGTGCCAGTGACACTGAAAACCACCTTATTGCCCCTTCCCACCCTCACGCTCGACTCACCATCAAGATTCCGCTGCTGAAAGGGCACCCTTTTGTTGCAGTCCAAGATGCGAAGCACGCGGCAAAGACAGCTCGCAATCAGTTGACCACTGGAGCTCGCTGTGTTTCACTTGGGCCAGATCCTATGAATTATAAACAACTGCTTGAGCTAACATCTCAGGATGCTCCACTCCTCCGCCGTGATGTTCAAAACTTAGACCGTCAAGATGACCGTGCTGCAGCACGCCTCTACGCTGCTGAGACACTCCATTACATAAGCACAAAGACGAAATCAGTATCACTTGGCACCTATCTGTTTATCATTGGCAAGCTAATTGATGCATGGCAGAACCGGTCACTTACCCATTCTGATCGCCTGCTACTTGCCTTACGGTGCCGCTACTTCCTGTGCTACTGGCGTCAGCATATACTCGAGCACCCGTTCCACGAGACCAGGATCCACTTCATCTCAGACTCATGTTACAAAATTCTAACCACGCTATGCGACAGTCTCATACAACTCATTTACATCCACCGCGAACATTATCCTAACATCCCCTTTATCCCTTGGCTCTACTCTACCGAGGTCAATGAACATGTGTTCGGAATTTTGCGTTTGATTAAGGCAGACTTCACTTTCTTGGACTTCATACAACTCATTCCCAAGCTCGGTGCAATCTTCACAAGCGCATATCATGGGGTGGTGAACCAGGAGAAAGCGAATGCGAATGCAACGGGGTATTTTCATACATACTTCGATACTCGTCATCTCGATCTTGCTGCTCTCAAGATGTACCCAACTGACAATGACATCGATGACATCGCCGTGGTCGCTCATGAGGAGGCCACATCACTTTTGAAAGCCCTTGACGTCACATCTAGCTCATTTACTGGAATGTTTACACCACAGGAGCTGGCATGGTGGGTGGGGCATGACTCCGAAGATGATTTAGACCTTGACCACATTGGAGATGATGACGCTCCTTCTATGTCATCTCTCATGGTCGAGATCAGGCCCGAAATTGGTGATGAAGGTAACAAACATGTTCAGGCACTGGGACTAGCTGCTGTTGCCGCTAATTTTCAAATACAAGCTCAACTGTGCGTCAATTTTCTCTCAGTTTGGTCTGTCTAATGATCAATTATCCTCCCGCTAGAGACGACCTTCCTGATACAACAGAGGATCACGTTGCTCAGGCAGAAGAATGGATTCAATCAATCCTTAACTTCGATTCTTGTTCGAGCGATAGCGATTGGGGCATCAGCGACATAGTCCCCAGCGTTTCTCTGACATCTCATCATGAAACACGTGGCAACCAGACCATTGACTCCGTTTTGCCTCTCGGCACCCGCTCCCCTTTAGTCAACGCACTGGATTCCATGATCAACTTTGATGTGCTCACTAGGCACAGAGAAAAGAACCAAACTGAAGCTACACGTGAAGCGGTACGACGGAATCCCAAACTCTCAAATGATCCTCGATATCATGCATCCCAGGATCGCACCTTCCTTACGACGCTGTCTGCTGAGCTACGAAAGCTGAGAAACACTGATGAAATTTCAGCACCAGGTGTGACAAGCGGAGTCGCACGACAAGTCCGACACACAGGGGCCCACTTAAATGGAGACACCAATGCCCGCGAAAGGAACAGAACTGTGCTGAATCAATTTTCAGAGACGGTATGTAACATTCTTGCTTAATGTAGAGGGGTATAGAATGCCATAACATGGATCACACAGAGGGTGGCTACTGCTCGTCAACGCTGGTTCGCTTCGGAAGATTTGCATCAAATTGAGGAAAAAATACTGCTGGGAAACGTCAGCCCCTTGCCTGGATTGAGTCTCAAAAAGGGTGACATGGTTTTTGTCCTTCACCTGGGAAAAATATTCCTAGCGCAAGGTAACTGCTCAACTCTCCATCTGGCACGCTGCTGGCACTAGTTGACGGAAACTTACTCAAGTGATCATAATTTATCGAAATAATGGTCGAAACCTACCACACCAGTATGCCGAAAGTGTTACATCAATTGGTGCCCCTTCATATCTCAGTGTACGCTTGTTCTCGCCCTTTTCCTTGTCATCACAAGATGCCGGTCGCTTCTCCAACTTCGTTCCAGGTAGAAATGGCGCACCTATCACCGCATTTGCACATCTGAAGCCCGAATACATGCTCCTATCGCTCAATCAGTGTGGTGAGATCCAGTGGAGATTCAATGCAATGCCGTCAATGCTCCATTCACTACAAATTGACATGGTGGTCATTCCGGAGGCCATGCGCGTCGTGTATGAAAAGCTCAAAATGAATAGTGGGAGAATTGAGATTGCGATCAAGAAGTTGCACGATGTCATACAGAAGGGTGACTCCGCTTAGCTTGGTAGAGCACAATTTTCGTTGATAGAATGCCTGTTTCCTGTATATACATAATTGTATCGCGCGCGGTCGCATGAACACAGCAGCGCATCATACAGTTGTGGGAAATTTTTTATGGATGTCCGAGCGTTTTGAGGGCCGAATCAGCATTTTTTGGAAGGTCTGACTCGGCAGGGGGCCTAATTGGGATACCAGAGCTCAAATTTTGAGGGCCAAATTAGAGAACCTCGGATCGGACCTATGTCGGTGTATGCCGGGGTTCTTATACCCCATTCACTTTTCATCGGACGGATTCTCTGAAAAACGCAGTAACGGCACTAACGCGTGATGTTTGTGTTACCATGGGGAGCAGCTCTTACTCGCCCAGGATCCGCTTGACGGCTGGAAGCGGATCTCGGGACAAGGAAGGCGATGCTTCGTGACGTACAGCATCTGGTTGTCTGTTATTCCGCACCCAAGAGCTGGTTGATTTCCTGAAGCCACTTCAATACCCCTCCTCATACCATTTCTGAGGTTTATCTGGCATTTCCCAACCAGTTGCTAGTGCTTAGAAACAAGCAAGATGGTTGGCGGCGAGGCACTGAAAACTTACACTCTCGTTGATGTGGCCGCTCACAATAGAGAAGGAGACCTGGTACGTGTACTTTACTTCTATGAACAACAGAGTTGTAGGTTTGCTGTGCGAACTCACTGTACTACATTTTGTGGCCAAAAGTGGATTGTCATCGACAGCAACGTATACGACATCTCTCGTTTCGTGAATTTTCATCCTGGTGGAAAATCGGTCTTATACGACCAAGAAGTAGGTATGCACGTCAGAGAGCGTGAAGTTACTCGAGCACATGTATTGAACATCTCCGCTTGCAGTTGGGAAAGATGTGACAGAGGTCTTCTTCTCCCTTCACCGTGGCTCTCTCCTCCAGAAACCCCAATACCAGCGTCTCATTATCGGAAAAATCCATGATCAAAGAGCACGATTTATCCAACCGCCTGTTGGAAGCCTTTCACAAATCCCCTATGCTGAGCCAACATGGCTCACCCCTGAGTACACTTCCCTACATTTCAAGGAATCACATAAGAGGCTGCAGAAGGCTATGAGGACGTTTGTAGATAAATATGTCATCCGGGATGCACACATGCACGAGGAGGATGGGAAACCTCCCAGTCAGAGCTTGATCGATAAGACAGCGTGCGTAGCCTAAACCAATTTCCACACCATCTCCTTCTCGATGCTCAAGGTATCTTCCACGGTTTTCTATAGGGAACTTAATATCCTCGCGATGCGACTTGGCCCCGGTCCACACCTCAAGGGTCGCACACTCATGAATGGCATCGTCCAGCCCGAAGAGTTCGACTACTTTCACGAACTGATTATCACTCAAGAACTCGCACGGCACGCTTCACGGGGATACGCTGATGGATTCTCTGGAGGAATGGTCATTGGTCTTCCTCCATTACTCAACTTTGGTTCGCAGTCATTAAAAGCCAAGGTTGTGCCCGAAGTTTTGGGAGGGAAGAAGTACATCTCTTTAGCGATTAGTGAGGCTTTTGCTGGGAGTGATATCGTTGGTGGGTTGAGAACCGCGGCGAAGAGGACTGAGGATGGGAAGTTTTTTATTGTCAACGGGACTAAAAAGTGGATTACCAACGGGACGTTTTGCGATTACTTTACTGTGGCTTGCAAAACGGGGGAAGTGGGCACGGCAGGGGGAGGGATTACGGTCTTATTGATTCCAAGAGGGGAGGGTGTAGAAACAAAGTTGATCAAGACGAGCTATTCGTCGACGGCGGGGACAGCCTACGTTACATTCGATAACGTCAGGGTTCCAGTCGAGAATATTTTGGGTGAGTCTTGCGTTATTCATTTGGGGATGGTCATTCAACGTTACCGGCACCTTATTCTTACGTACCTTTTTACTCGCCGAATTGATACAGGCAAGGAACATCACGGGCTTTTTGTTGTATTGTCTAACTTCAATCATGAACGATGGATCATGACTGCCGCCAGTGTCCGGTCGCAACGGAACGTTCTCGAGGAGGTACTGAAGTACGTCTGATTGGATTCCTTCCTTTTGGCTCTCACTTTGATCAAAATGCTCCAGGTGGACTCACCAGCGCAAGGCTTTTGGAAAATCTCTATTGGAACAACCCGTCATTCGATCTAGGTCAGTTTAGCGTGCTGGGTGTCTGGGTTCGACAAGTACATTGTTGTTTTCAGGATTGCCGCTATCATTGCTCGTGTTGAATCCGCCCAGGCTTGGCTTGAGAATTTGACTCTCCAAATGTGCAACATGGTGAGTTGGACCCTTCAAAGTGTCTTGACTATGAGCCTCGGGTTGATGCACAGAACAGAACTATAAACAGCAAGCAGAGCATCTTGCAGGGGTGTGTTCCATCACTTCCTGCCTCCACCCCAATAGATAAATTTACATTTGGCCCTCTCCTGCCACAGCCGATAGGAATTCTCAAGATGTATGCCACGCGCACGGCGCAAGAAACAGCAGCAGATGCCACTCAGATCTTTGGTGGACGAGGTATGTTCCTCATCCACTTCTTTCACCACGCAACCCTCAAATTGCAACGTTGACACTAATATCCTTTGTCGAACAGCCATCACGATGACAGGTCTTGGAAGTGCTATCGAACATTATCATCGTGTAATTGGGTTCGACGCGTTGTTGGGGGGAGCCGAAGATGTATTGGGAGATTTGGGGGTGAGGCAGGCAGCGAAGAAAATTCCGAAGAATGCACGCTTGTAACCAGGGCTTTATATCATGTCGATAAATGCTGGCCATTCTTGGCCATCCAGTGCGGTGCGTAGAGAGCAGCCGAGCATTCAGCGTGCCAAATATCAGATCTACTTACCCGGGGGATGGGGATACCTCCTATCAGATGTCGGTGCGAGAGCTAGCTACCTCGTGCCAGCGCTTATTTAATTTGGAACTTCTCGGGTAACTGCTCACATGATTTACGACATGGTCCAAATGTCTGACAAAGGCTCTTGGCTCCTTCCGATTCGTCAGTGTCGTCATTCCCATTGACATTCAAATTGCCAGCAGATTGATCCAGAGGCTGGGCAACCCAGGCCCGTTGATTGGGCAGTTGGGTGTAATACTCCACCCTTTTGAGACGGAAAAAATCGAATATTAAGATAGGAACCCAAACCAAAGGTATTTACGTGTTCAAGTTGCAGCCCAGAATGCATCGCAGGCTAGATTGACGATGGCGAATGAAGGATTCCATATCCGAAACCATCCATAGAAATGCGCAAAACTGATTAGGAAGAAGCAAACAGTAGGAACGAATCGATCAAGCCACCTTTCTACGAGGCGAAAACAAATTGAGAGTGAAGCCTAAATGCCATCCTCGTAATATACATTGCTCCTCTTTTCAAAGCCTGAAAAGGTGCAGGAAGTACTCGAGTTTGTTCTTCAAACAACGCCGCTCTCGGAGGCACATGTTGGGTGGGGGGATATTCGAGTTCGTGCTCAGGAATAGGCTCCATCATTCTCATGATGTTGTGGATATTGCGATGGACCCGGGGGATAACCGGGATAGGCGTAGGAACCCTTTGGGGAAGTTCTTTATGCATCTCAGTTTCAGTTTCAGCAAGGTCAGGCGAAACCGCAAATGGAGAGGAAGACATGGAGTAGTGGAGACTGAGATCCTCCGTTGAGACATAGACGTGACTGAGGTCGAAATTAAAGTCTGGAACAGGCATCGTGAAAGGGACGGGACAGGCGATAGGCGTTCCTGGTGGAGTATAATCGAAGGACCGCAGCATATCATCCGACTTTGGACCTTCCAACTCAGGGGTCGTCCAGCCTGTCAACTGAGAGCTAAGTGAAGAGGCAGTACAAGGTGAGGAGGGGGAACTGGGGCAAGATGAGGGCGAAGTGATGATTCTGAGGTCCACGAATGTCCGACGAGCGGTCGAATGAGACAGTATGGAGTTGTGTGGTGGCTCGCAAGTAGGGGAAGTGGGCTCGAGGGTGAAGACACTGAGGTCATCATAGGTAGAAGCTGGAGACAATTGGGTATTGTCTTCCAAAAGGGGCAGGTTCTGAGAGATATCAATGTTGAACTAGACATGAAGCGGTTGAGAGTTGAAGATGGATTACAGGCAGCTGGCATTGCTCACCCTTGTGACAGCATCCATTGTATTGGGGCAGTAGACCCATCCAGCCTCGTTAACGAAGCCCATGATAAGATCCATATACTCCCTGGCCTCAGCATCATCCATGGTCTTGAGTCCGAGAACGTCAACCATGCCACGACGAGGGGTAAGATTGTAAGTAATGACACATCTGCGCTCCTCCCATAAGTGAACGCGGCGACCGGAGCACTCAGAACGCAGGTCCGAAAGGACAAGAGTGAAGAGCGTTACGAGGAAGTTGTATCCAATAGAGATGAGAGTACTGCTGGTCGGAGCTTGTAGGGTAGGGTTGACCTGGGATTCGAGAGTGACAAGCCAACGATAGCGAGGCAATTCGTCGGTTTCAAGAAGGTACGAGTTGGTGGGCGCGAACGAAGCGGCGAGTTCCATATTGGACGAGTGTGAAGAAATGAGAAGTATTCACGAAGAGCGAAAGTCCTCAGAAGGGAAGTGAGGAAGTTGAAGTGACTACAGAGCGTATTTTAAACATAGATGGAATTGTGGTCGAAAACGAAACCCAGGTCTTGGAACATGGTCAAAACCCCATTGTTTCAGAGTTAACCCTAAAGAGAGGCTGGTCACCTGCCTAGTTTCAGACCTCCAGCCCAAGTTGTAATTATCTTAGTCTACGAGTGCCCGGCGTGAATCGAACGTCTCAACAGAGTCTAGCATAAACAAAGGCGAAATGATTGAGCGTATCTGCCGTCTGCTTTCCGGTACATAGTAGCGCGACAGGCCTCGGTACCTTTCAGCCGGGAATTCCCGACACCACACAAGGACCCCCAGTCACAATGTCAGAGACCATGACCACGTCTGAGCTCTCAGCAGCAGCACGGGGGTGTTACTGCTGCTTCGCTGCCACCATGAATTCTGTGAAGTCTATTGCCTCCAACGTTAGAA